CACAGTCATGTTCTGTCATGTGATTCCCTTGTCTGTGCGTTATGTTCTGATTGGTTCCTTGGTTCATGTGTCATGTTCTCATTGGTTGTCTTAGTCGTATGTCTTGTTTCTCATTGGTTGGTTCTTGTCATGTGACCCTCGTTGTTTGATATAAATAGCCCTAACGTTGCCTTTGTTCTTTGTCTAGCTTGAATTGTGTAACCTGCTGTTGGTGAGTTGTGTTTCTGTTTATGCCAAGTCTGGCCATGTTTCAAATCAAGTCTTCTTTTGTTTGGATGTTTGGATTTTGGATTTCATCTTGTTTAAATAAACTGCACTTGGGTTCATCACTACACTTGCCGTCAGTGGACTAATTGTTACACTTACCTGTATTTTGAATTTTGCTCTGAATTTGCAAATGTCCGCAAAAAAAATGCAAAATGTACTTTGGCAGACAATTACCAGCTTTTTTTTTGTTTGTTTTTTTTTTTCTTATTTTTGTGTTTTTACATTTCCAGGTTCGAAATGTAGAAGTGAACTGTAGCAGGGTGGAGGCACAAATGGAAGTCCATTTCCACAAAAATAGTGGTTTGGTAAATCAGAATTACATAAAGCTGAAATTGCTAAATGAGAGACAGTCATGACATGCAACAATCACAATTATGATAAATTATATACACGGTCAAGGCCAAAAGTTTTGGCAGTGACAAATTTTGTGTTTTGCAAAGTTTGCTGCTTCAGTATTTGTAGATTATTTTTCCACGTTTTTATGGTATACTGAAAAACAATGATGAGCATAAGTTATAAAGACTTTTATTGGCAAAAAATATATATATATAAATGAGTCAATATTTATTGTGTTGACACTTGTTCTTCATAACCTCTGCAATTCGCTCTGGCATGCTGGATATTAGCTTCTGGGCCAAATCCTGACTGATGGTGATCCATTCTTGCCTTATTAGTTCTCGGAGTTGATCACAATTTGTGGGCTTCTGCTTGTCCACTTGCCTTTTGAGGACTGACCACAGATTCTCTATGGGATTGAGATCCGGGAAGTTGCCTGGCCACGGATCCAAAATTTCAATGTAATGATCTTCGAGCCACTTCTTTAATCACTCTTGCTTTGTGACATGGTGCTCCATCATGCTGGAAAATGCACAAATCATGACCAAATTGCTCATGGATCGTTGGAAGAAAGTCGCTCTTGCAGGACGTTTTGATACCATTCTTTATTCATGGCAGTGCTTTTGGGCAGAATTATGAGAGCCCACTCCCTTGGTTAAAAGCAACCCCACACATGAATGGTCTCGGGATGCTTCACTGTTGGCCCAACACCGGACTCATGCACTGTTAGAGAAAAAAAAAAAAGGCACCTTATCCCACTCAACTTGTTAAGTTAAGCCAACTAGCAACCGACAACTTAAAAACTTGAGTTCATCTAATGAATAAAAGTCAGTCTACTGAATGTTAAAGGGGTCATATGATGCTGCTAAAAAGAACATTATTTGGTGTAATGAAATGTTTAAAGTTAAAAAAAAAAAACATTATTTTCCACATACTGTACATTATTGTTTCTCCTCTATGCCCCGCCTTTTTGAAACGCGTCGATTTTTACAAGTTAGAACGAGCCGTTTTAGGTAGGTGTGGCTGACTCTGAACTTTTATAAAGAATATCTCTTTGGATTTGAGAGTTTAGTCTTTGCAACTTTACAGATCTTCTTTATGCACCAAGAGCTTGTAACACTCCAAAGAGAAAGGAAAAATTTAAATCGCATCATATGACCCCTTTAAAAGATCTGTCAGAGCAACCAAACATTTTTTAGCATTTAGCAATGCTAATCTTTTTTTTTTATTTTTTTTATCAATCCTCTTTCTTTTAGGTTTATTTTCAAAGCCTTCTACATATTATGGATAGTATTTGCCTTTTAAAACTAAAAGCAAACATTTATGCAAAGACAAATGTATTAAACAAGTTGCAATGAGATGCACATATACAGTACCTCAGCACATGATTCTCAACCATGGTGAGGATCAACAAATTTTAAATCAGTAAAAATATGAACTCTGATTCACATGACAGCTAACTGACAGTGACAAAAGCAGCAGCAGCATAAATTAAGCCAGTAAAGTTTAAAACAATGATAATATTTTATAACTTTTTCAAGCTGCAATGCATGCTGGGAACTTGTGCAATATTGTTCAATGTAAAATTGTTTGTTCAGATCAGTCAATTTGAAAAGTTGGGAGAACATTTGGATGTTGTGAACAAGTACTTGAGTATCTAAGTAAGGTAAACAAAACTTTTGTTAGCGACGCGTTGAGTATTTTTGTTTAGTTCACAAAAAAAAAAAAAACATGTAACTCTACTAAAAATTCTTTGTTCAGGCTACATTTTTTACATTGGTTAGTAGAACTTTTTGAAAGTTGGATTTTTTTTTTACGGTGTGAAAGCATTCACCTTTTCTTCTCCAAACAATCGATTTTCCAGATGTCCCAAACAGTCAGAAGGGAGTTTCATCAGAGAAAATAACTTTGAAATTCTGCAGGAAGTACAAGGATTGGACAGCAGAAGACTGGTGCAGTCTGTCCTTGACGTTTTTCTTGGAGAGAAGTGGCTTCTTTGCTGCCCTTCTTGACACCAGGCCATTGTCCAAAAGTCTTTGCCTCACTGTGCATGCAGATGCTCTCACACCAACCTGCTGCCATTCCTGAGCAAGCTCTGCACTGCTGGCAGTTTAATGTTAGCTGGTCATTTTGTGTCAGAATCAAAAAACAGTGAAACTTGTTTTATTGTGAAAAGGTCATTTTTGGCCAAAGAAGCTGTTAGCAATTATTTAAAATGCATCTGATCACTTTACACAATAATCCAGAAACAATGTGAATGAACACCACAACAGTTTAAGCAGCAAACTTTGCAAAACACAAAATTTGTCACTGCCAAAACTTTTGCCCATGACTGTGTGTGTGTGTGTATATATGTATTTATGTAAAAAGTCATAACTGACTTTTTACATAATGATATATTTATCAACTTCAACTTTTGTCATATTTATGACTTTGATAATGATCATTTATAATTTCACCCATCATATCTTTATTATTTTTACATAATTATGGCATGATTTTGACAATGTCATAATTTTCACTATATATGTCAATTTCAATTTACGTTATAATTACCCAACACAAATTTATAACTTTTTATCTCATTTTGACTAAGAATGGTCATATTTTGACTTAAGTCAATTATTATATAATTATGATTTACCAAAGCATGATTTGTTTTCTTATGTGGCAGAAATAAGCTTCTATGTTAATGGGCTTTCATAGATCATAGCAAATATGATTTTTATTTTTCATTTTCTCCAAAAGCGAACAAGGAAAATCCACTATTGCATTTTCATGACTTCCTAAAAAAAAGGAAATAAAAAAAATATATAGAGAGAGAAAGTCAAGGCCAGAGAGAGAAATATGTCAAAAAATAACTCCTTCAGCTGCATTAGAAACCCCATTGCAACTGGAGTGACTATTTTTTGTAGTTTCATTCTACAGAAAGTAGCCTATAGTGTTTAAAAATGTACATTAAAAGACAAAAAGTAACAAAAAATAAATAAATAAAATTACTTTGCTAGAATTATCTAATTGTTGTGGAATGGCATCATCACAGTCATTCTGGAAGAGAAAAGGTACAGCGTGTTCTACTGTAAATGTTTGGGCAAGGAGACCGCATGACTGTATGCTTGAGTTTATGCACCTGTAGCTGAATCAGTCAAAGAGTACAACATGTACAATGTGTGAGTACTGTCATATGCTTGTCATTTGTAACAAGATGTTTATCTTTCATATTTGTTTTTTATCATATCAGGTCTATTCATAATCCTACTTGGCCTATAAGATCAAAATTGAAAAGCATAGCAGAACGTATTTACTGTATGACCTTGATGAACAACTGATCATTCATAATAATTTGTGTCAGTCTTCAATACAGTTTGGTTTTAGTGATTTCTCCCAAAATCTGTAAAAGCATTAATCCACATCACATGTGAAACGATAAAATGCATGCATGCTATTTTTATAGAATTCCAAGAACAACAGGTGAAAAAAAGCAAAAATACTGTCATCAATCAAGTGTGATGGGTGGTGTTGACAGCTTTTGATGCAGATTGGTGAGCTGCACTGGGCCAGAGCTCATCTCACATTTGGATATCAATGTACAAATGTGGTATTCAGAAAATGTGTAAGAAAATCATCACTTAGATATACATATATTGAATTAAAACCATTGATTGATTCAGGATTATAACCGTAACAAACTATTTATAATGAGAGAAATCTAATTTAATGTCCAATTGTTGCTCATTAATAACTGGGGAACATGCATCTGTGATGCATGCACACTACTGTTAACAAATTTGGGGTCAGTAAGATTTTTAACACATTAAGGCTGCATTTATTTGATCAAAAATACAGTAAAAACTGTATAAAATAGTACAATTTAAAATAACCGTTTCATATCTTCATCTATTTTAAATGTAATCTATTCCTGTGATGGCAAAGCTGAATTTTCAGCATCATTACTCCAGTCTTCAGGGTCACATGATCCTTCAGAAATCATTCTAATATGCTGATTTGCTGCTCAAGAAACATTTCTTATTATCAATGTTGAAAACTATTTTTGTGGAAACTATAATATTTTTATAGACCGGATTCTTTGAGGAATAAAGAGTTTAAAAGAACAACATTTATTAGATTTTTTTTTTAATCAATGTAAAAGTCTTCTGTCAATTTTGATCAATTTAATGCATCTTTGCTGAATAAAGGTATTAATTTCTTTCCAAAACAATCTTACTGGCCCCAGATGAACAGTATTGTATTTGTGCAGCTTTTTAAGCAGCATGTAGAGTCAAATTTATCATTATATTAATTTGTTTTGAATGAAGTATAAATTATATCACACAAACCAATCAAAGACTGATGTTTTCACTCATTTAATCAAAGGCAAAGTCAAAACCCATTAGTAACAAAAAAAATAAAAAATAACAGCTTGTTACCAATAAAAACCATTTGATTTGTGGCATTTTAAAGAAACCACTTTGATGAAACACCTTAAAACACACAGCTATAAACATTATTTAAAGGCAGTGCAGCTATGTAGCAATATGTAAATTAATTTCTCAATTTTAGTGTTCAGTCACAAACTGCACAACTCCTACAGACTGTCAATAACGCATACAACTCTACTGTAGTATTAGAGACCAAGTTAATTTCCCTCAGGTACATACAAGACATGCAAATACATGGAGTCAATGCTGCTAGATACTTTAATGACATTTCTGCACATTAATTTAACAAATTCCCTACAAATGAACGAATCAGGGCTTTCGCAGACTTTTGAAATACCACAAATTGCATAGATTGTGCCCTTGAATTCTTTCATTCCCTTCTGCTCATCTAACGTATACATTAGTCACCAGAGATATGTGATGTACATAATCACAATCAAATCTGAAATCACATAAGCGATTCCGAGCCATATTGGTTGGTCCTTTACAAGTGAATTTGATGACTCTGTCTCATCCGCAGGAAATAATAGTGAAGCGTTTGGACACGCAGGACATGTTATGCAACACAATACCCAGCAGAAAGATCAAAATGAATGCCACCAGTAGCACAGTGCAAACCCCCGTCCATGCTGTGGTCTTAACCGCCACCTCCTCCTCCTCCATCCCCTCCTCACCCGTGTCGCCCCCCAGCACGAGGCTCCCGCCATCAGAGATGTTTAACACCCCAACGCTTTTAGGGCCAAATCGGCATGCTGGTTGTCCGGGAAGCAACGCCTCATCTGTGTCCAGAGGGAGGGGCAGCAGGTAGCAGCCGCTGTTGGGTAAGTGTATAAAGATGGGAGTGTGCTCAGAGGAGTGAGACAGACTGATAACGGAAAGTACTTCCGGGTCGTCTGGAAGATGGGAGACCGAAAGTCCGCCAGGGATCTGTGTCACACAACGACACCAAGGACAGCGAAGCTCTCTCTGGCTGAGCCGCATCTGGCTCAGACACTCGGAGCAGCAGGTATGCTGGCAGTGCAGGAGTTTGGGTCGGCGCCATTGGCTGAAGTAGTTGAAACAGATTTGGCACTCAAGCCTGGAGTTCTGGGACAAGGTGTCCATCGTCCTTAAAACGTGGCTCTTCGGTTACTTTAATGACCGTATTCTTGCTGATTTGTATCGCCAATGCACTTCTCCGTCAACCACTCTGTGTTGATGGGGCCGTCAGTGCTTTAATCCGAGACAAGTGCTTTAAAGCGAGACAAATATGCTGCATCAAAACAGACTGTCAAGAATTAAATCCAGGGGATAGGTTTTGGCACATTCACATGCAGGCAGAAGGGTTAATTTATTATGCGCTAGCTGTGAGCTGGATCTAAATTCTTGTCAGGCTTGACTTAGAAGTAGACGTCCTGGATAAGTAAACAAATCAGCAGGGATTAGGACTGACACAGTCACCCTAAGCCTAGACAACGGTGGTGAAGAATGCTGAGGCTAAATCGTGTGTGTGAGCTGAAAACAAAACGGCTTAATTGGATAATTATAATCCGTGTATCATTCGATCATTCGTTTTTTGATTTAATATTGAAAGTAGAAAAATGAGAAAACGGCTCCTTTTTCGTTTTTTTGTTTTTTTCCAAAAAACGAAAAACGAGAATTCAGCTTAAATTTACGTTATCTGTGATTAATTCTATGATTATGTGAAATGACTTGATAGCTTCACGGAGTGATACTTACCATGGGTTTAGTATAGATCCAAGCAGGGTGTCAAATTATTAAACGAGCACAGTTGGAAATAAAAGCAGTCCACAGGAATATCCTTCCCCATCTAATGATGAAATAACTCTGTAAAATAAGGGAAAATACATGATGATAAAGAAATAGTTATTTAACAGACTTGAAATTCATCCATTCTTAAAATAGGGAGGATGAGGTTAAATGTGCCGTTTTTTAAAGGGGTCATATGATGCTTTTTTAAAGATCATTATTTTGTGTATTTGGTGTAACAGAATATGTTGACATGCTTTAATGTTCAAAAAACACATTATTTTTCAAATACTGTACATTATTGTAGGTCCTCTATGCCCCGCCTTTCTGCCCTAAACGAGAAGAAATTAAAGGTGAACTAAAACTTCTAATATTTCATATTTTAAAATAGAAGAATGCATTATAGCCACAGAATGCGTCTTCACCAATAAATAAACAAATTTTCCCCATGTTATTGGTAAAGTGTATCATATCATGAGGTACGATTAAGAATCATTGGAGAATAATATGCAACAATATTTTGTGAAATAAATATGAACATAAATGTTAAAAACCATTACGCCTAGAGTAATTTTGCTGTACATTATTCACATTTTATAAACCAATCAGGAAAACAGAATGTCTGAAAATGAATTTTTTACCATTTTCTAATAATACACATTCTCATAGCTTGTAAAAAAATGCATCTGACACACTTTCCACCACAGCTATAATTACTTTACTGATTTATTTAATAATTCATTTAATCTTAAGCCAAACAATAATCATGTTTTTTTTTACACTGGCAATTCACCAACATGTACAATCTTTATACCCATACCGTACAGAAATTTTTCACACTTCAAATATTTAAAAATATACAAAATATATTGCTATACTGTAAATGATAAAAACGATTTACATAAATATATGTAGTTTTAGTTACTTATATTTCTTATTAATTGTTTTTCCATATACGTTGTCTAAATACATTTATAATTCTCAAACTGTATATTTTAAAAACACATTTTGCATTTGCTCAAATTGTATTTCAAGATTGGAAATGTACTTCCTGCTACTTGAAGTACATTTTGTAATATATTTTGGCATTTGAAGGTTTAAAATCATTTCAGTTTGAAAAATCTGCACTGTTAACAACACGCATTTAAGCACAGATTTTAGCCAGAATTATTTTATTTTTTTTTTCAGAATGGATAAATTTTTGCTGTATGATACATACAAGTTGATGCAACATGAAGAAATAAAAAAACATGTTTTTCCTGAGAAATGCTTATCACTTTGTGCATCTCTCAGTCTGAGCAAGACAAGTTATTCCTAAACACATGATCATGATAAGGGGGTGACCTTGCCAATGACACATCTAGTACTCCTCCTCTCCAGACTGCTGATCTGTCCTTTGTGCTCTTTTGCTCTGCTGTATATCCCTCTTCTATTTATGTTTGTTTTGTCTTCAAATATACGGTTTAATATTTATGATAAAATACATTATTATTGTTTTCTGTTAACAATATAACTTTGTAATCAGGGTTGCTTTATTGCCATAAAATGCTGTTTTACTCAATGGGCAGTGTAATCCACTTAAGAGTGTTTATATGGCCAGTTTGGCCACACAATGATAGTACACATTTTCACTGGATGAAAAACTTCCCCTTACAAGCAACAGCTAAATGGGACCTAGTTTAGTCGAGCCCGTAGGCACAATTTCTGAAACCTGCATGACACATGACTATTAGCATGCATGAAGCTGACCAATGAATGAGAGTTCAAAACCCCTCCAGCACTCAAGCTTCCTTCTGACCTTAACCAATTCAGAGCTTAAAAATATTTCCTAACCTCATCTAAAATTTATTTGAGGGCATTTATTTCCTTCAGGTACTGTACAGCTAATATGCATTTTAATTGCTTGGCTCAATGCTTGTCACGGAGAAATACTCACGGCGAAATGAAGTGTGCTGGTACTACACGTCAATCACCTGAGAAAAGAATGAACACTTATCAAGTGACTAAGTTAAAGTTAAATGACTTGTGGCCACATTTTCAGCATAAGCCTCACTCCAGACTTCCTGTTGTTACACTTACAGCCACATCATAATTTGCTCATGTGACCATGACATGCAAAACAAAACAGTTATCGCATTGCGCTCTTCTCTTTCACGTTCAAAGGTTTATGCCATGTAATAATTGCTCATATACGTATAATTCCACTCCATCCCTTGAGGGGAAAAATAATTAATAATGCAATTAAGCCTGCTATTGTAGCATGAATGGACGGATGCCCCTGAGGGCTTATCCGTTATTAGGTGCACATTATCTTGTGATAGAGAAGCGGAAATATTTCCCTTCTCTTTGGGACTTCCAATCAAAACGCATTACAGCAATCTCATAGACGGTTTAGAGACTTATAGACATGAATACTTTTAATTTACTAATAAATCTAAGGGGCTTTACAAAAACTTTTTTTTGCTAAATGAGACCAGTTCATCGTTTGAAGACATGATTATTTCATGCTCATCAAATTGGTGTCATTACAAATGAAAAAAAGTGCACTGAAAATGAAACAAATGTGGATGCTGCGAATCCAGATCACGGTTATGGAGAATTTGTGTGCTTCTCATAGGATTTCAGTTACCATGAAAACCATTCCAGCTCAATTTCACATTGCATAATTTCCTTCAGCAATTCTGGTACGGCACACAGGGGAGAAAACGTGCCAATCTATTAAACGTCCTGTGGGCACATTTACTAAATCATATGAAATATTTGAGAAGGTGTAACCTTGAGAACATGTCCTTTGAGTTCTCACTTTTGTACTGGCATCAATCTTTCATTTTATGCTGAGCAAGCTGGCTTTCACTTGGCATATTTTCTACCCGGGCTGGATTTTTTTTTTTTTTACTTTTACTTTAAAACAACTGAGGATTAAGTGCATGACTAAAGAAATACAATGGGATTGGTACACTAGATGTGCCTAACAAGATATGATCAAATGTGAAACAACGCCCAAATCCCATGGTGGAAGCTTCACTGAGGGTCAATCTTCGGTCCGACGTCTCGAAAACTAAGACAATGAAACAAGCAGATAAGAAACCGTTAGCTGTGCGCTATAGCGGAGCATCAACCTGATGGATGCAGCTGAATCAGGGGATTTGATTTGTCAGAAAGGGGGTAAAGAAAAGGGGGAAAATGAAAAACATCACTTAAAAACTAAGGCCTTGAGGCATTTCTCAAGGGCAATGTGCTGACTTGAGCAGGTGAGGAGGGGCGCTATTCATGCATGCCCTTGGCCTTTACTTTTTGATGCCTTTTTTTCATGCTGTTCATGTAAAATGCCTGTGGGATGTTGGTGTTACAACTCACCATCTCCAACGTTAACCTGCGTAAACAATGCTGAAATGTGAAACATCCCAGGGCGACACATAATTTATGCGGCAAAGTCACACAGATCTTCATATATGTTTATTTTTTAAATGAAACACACCGAACTTCAGCTGAACAGGGTGTGTTTGCGACAGGAAGCAGATAAGCTTTTAACTTGTACTGAAATGCTGTCTGAACGCGTGTCAAATTAACAGAACTCTTATGCTGATGATACACGGGGCAACTTTTTGAGCAATGTTGCCAGGCAACTTTGGGCAATGTTGCCGTCAATAGGCAACCAGGTGAGACACAGGGCCCACGACCGATCTAAAGAATCCAGATAGACATTTGTTACCCATTCTCAATGGGAAAATGCCCAAGCAACATTGCTCAAAAATGTTGCCCCGTGTATCATCAGCCTTACAGTGATTAAAGTGCATGCCGATCATCAACACAAACCCATGTTAATAATAAAACCAAATGTATAGAGAAAAGGCAACTCAAATGCTGATTGGATCAAGCAGTTGTCTGATAGCAAAGCACTGAGATGAGATAACATAAGATAATATCGGTGGAATTTACTAATTAAGTCACAAGGACACAGTAAAGACAAACAACCCTGAATGACTAAAAGGTTGAATGACACATAAACAGACCCTGTGAGCTAAGGTTTGGGATTTATAAAGATAACCCAAATATTTTGGGTTGCGTGACATGTACAGGCATTATCAGGGCACGTCTGTTTTCAAAGACAGGCATATTTAGACTAGTTGCCATTGGCTGTGTCTCAAAACCTAGCAAGCTGCTTACATTTCTGGGTATCCAGCACGCCTATGTCACCCAGAAATGCTGTCTAGTTAGGTAGCTCACTATATTTTGACACGCGGCCATTGTCGCGTGTCTCTAAACAATCAAAACGACTTAAACCGGAACAGAGAAAAAAGCTGCCCAAAATAATCCTGCTGCAATGTAAAAGAGCAGGCTCCTTCCGTACTGCACTGATGCATAACACAACAAAACACAGTAAAACACAATACAAAACTTGATGGGTTGGTTGGTACAGAGGCTGAACTTGCTTTGAACAGATGTGCTCCAATAAAGTTACACGCTCAACGCAGGTTATAAAACCGCGGTTGAAACGTAATGCAACAAATATGCATCGATGCAACGGAACAAAAATTGATCCAAACAGGTTTTGTTTGCTGTTTACAAGGTATAAAATCTCAGAACAACTTTGATGCGAATGCACAAATAGGAAAGCCAAGTAGTTTCACCGGTTTCTTTGAAAAGAGTGGGGGGAAACTCACCTTGTATATCGAGAGGTGTTTTCATCTATGCAAACGGTGAACATCGCGTTCGGAGCAGCCTCATCTGTCATACTTCACTCTGCCTTCTTCAAAGGCTGTACTGTAAACGCTCTCTGCGACTCCCTCAGCGCAGCCAATAGCGAGCGACGTCTGCGAAGAGAACAGCCAATAGAGAAGCCCGCTAATCATTTTGCCACGCCCCTTAACAAGCACTATTCAGGTCTAAACGTTTAGTCGTTTGAAGGTGGATTATATTTGTTACAAAACAAATACGTAGCCTACTTGCCTTGCACGATAAGTAGCCTACAACAAACAATCTCTTGACACATAATCCTCAATTTAAGTAAACATTACAGAAAAAAAAAAACTTTCCGTTGATTGTAGCATATTTTTTTATGAGCGCTAAAAGTAGGATTTATAGAATTGAAGTACGGGATGAACTATACGGTGAACTAGTGAAGATGCTCACAATGCTGTTAAGAAGTAAACTTTTATTTTGGGCATTGTTGAACAGTATTGCATGACAAGCTGTTTATCCATTTCTATACAATTCCTCTGGGCAAAATCAGATTACATTTAGAAGCCATCAAACCGACTTTTTAAATGTCAAAGCTGTCATTCAAAGTGACAATGTATTGCAATTCTGAAATAAAACAAAATCAGATGGAGAATCTGATAAGCTTGTGACACTAGGCTAATATTTTTTAAACCCATATATATTAATAGTCAGTGCTAACTCCTTCAAATATAATAAATCTTTTTTAAAAATTTGAAGTAAAACACACAATAATTACAGTACAGATTAAGAAAAAAGGCCCCATTTTCATTGTATTTGGGCAAAGGCGGACAGTGGTGAAAAACCTAGTGCTAGAGTTTCTGTTTTAAAGTTCACCACCAACTGAGATGCTGGAATCATGACAAGCCCACACTAATGATCTGGCCCTTGCAAATTAAAAACACATGGACAATGGCAACAAACAAATGCACCCTAGCGAGGGGAGTTTTTTTTCCCCCTCTTTTAAAAATACATTTAAGTATTACAGCAGTGCATCGTGGTTTAGTATCGTGTGCCTCTTTTCTTCATAGCACCTGATGGGACAAAGATATTGCACAAATAAAGACGAGAATCAAAAGTGGTGATTAAAGCCCCATTCACACCAAGAACGATAACTATAAAGATATTAGCATCCACATCAGCGGACAAGATTGTCTGTTTATTCCAAGCACACACTTGTCTGCCGCTTTAAATTCAAACTTGTTATAGCAGGATGGATTCTGATTGGGTGTCAGTGTTTGTTCATAAGCTGGGAAAAAAAATCGTTCTTAAAGTGATTCCAATTATATTGTTTCTTTGTGCCTGTGTTATAGCTGTGGTGTAGACTCTACTGTTCTTTAATATTGATAGCCTATTAGAACTATATATCTTTATCGTTCTTGGTGTGAACGGGACTTAACGTGTTTAAAACCCTAAACTCACCTCTGCCTCTCTGGCAGTAGGTAAAGTCAGTCTCATCATATTCACTTCTTGGCCTTTGCTGGTGGACTGCCTTACAAGTCGGCCTTCTCAATGGAGTTCTCCCTTTACAAATCAAAAAGAACACCATTTAAAAGACAAGCCATACTTGACACTTGCATTCCACAACTTCAAAAGACTTCACACGTCCAAGTCTTGCCTCCAAGCCCTTGGTTTGGCACCACAGCTTGCCCAATTCTCTTGGTCAGAGACGACACCCTCTCTCCATTGTTCTAAAAATATTTCTGCATGAGCTGACCACCTTGTGGCAGCATTAAAATGCAAATTCAAAAAATAAACCCTTACCAACACAAGGCCTGCACAAGGCACCCTTTTGAGTTCTCTTATCAGCTTTAGCCAGAGAGCCATACTCCTCACAGCACTCTCCTTTGGGATGCACACGAGCCTGCTCGCGTAGATCACAGCGCTCTTGGCCTTCACACAGCAGCTTCCGGTGCCCGTGTTTAGCACAGTGATGCCCACAAGAGGACAGCGCATGCCTGCTGCAACACTTCCTCTTGGACACTCTCGGTGACTCACAGTTACTCCGCACCTCTGCATCGAGGTCATACTCGCAGTCTTGATCAGACTCATCATCTCTCTCAGGATGGCTGCGTTCGGCCATTTTGCAAATTCCTACGTCATCCTGCAAGCTTGAGCCGCAGCACACACACGTTTTCTGGCAGACAGGGCGAGCCTTTTCCACGCTCAAGAGCTCTTTTCTGGAGCGAACGGGCACGTCACTGGTTTCAGCCAGCTTGCCGCCACCAACATACACATGCCCCGGAACGAGATCGAGATCCTCCACATCAGTGGAGAACATTTCATCTCTGGAAGAGAGCTCATCTATGGATGGACTCAGGACACTCTGGCGCTCTTGGGTCACTTGAGGGTAGTAGCTGTAGGAATATGCACTGCCAACTGAGGACAGATAGTTTTGTGGAGGCAACAGAGTAGTTGGAGAATCGAAGTAAACAAGTGGGTCAATCTCTTGTTCAAGACTGAGGCCAGTTGTTGTCTTATTGCAGGGCAGGCGAATGATTTGATACTGCAGGTCAAAGTCTTCAGAGAGCTTTATAAGAGGCTCCATAACTGCAGCAGCATCAGTAGACGCAATATTCTGTACCTGCTCATCACCTGGTTTCTCCAAATCGAGGTTCTCTGTTGGATCAGCAGTGCTTTTGATACCACTACAGAACACATTGCCAGTTGCACTGGTTATTGGCTTTCCATTTTGGCAGCACAGTTCTTCAGCAACACTCTGTTGCTCATCGTTCTCATTGGCATCCTCTTCCTCATGGACAGAAGAACTGTCAAGGGGTAGCACATCTGATAACACGCATTCGTCCAGTCTACCCTGGCTAGATTCAGCATCATACGCAGAGTCACTGTAGGTTGTGGGCCTTGTGACCTGATTAACCTGTTCCTCCTTACCTTCCTGAGAGGCAAGCTCTAACTTGGGGTCTTTTAAACCAGTCAGTTTCTCTCCCTGCACTACATCAGGAGTAGAGGAGACCACAGTGTTAAGCCCCTTGTCACCACCTTGTTCACAAGCCTTCAGACTCTCAATTTTGTCTATCAGTTTGTTGACTGAATCACTAGGATCTGTTTGGACCTCAGAACAGGCAGTCTCCCGATGCATCCCGGTGTGTTGAAAGTGCTGGCGGACACGCAAATCATAGGATGCAACAGAGGGGAAGTGGGGGTTGATTCTTCTGTAATCGATTGGCTGCATGGGTGCATGTGGGATCACATACCCAGGATACTGCATAAACTGATAAGGGGCCATGTAGGGACGGCCGAAGTGCAAAGCTGGAACAAAGAAAAAGAAATTGTTGCGATTAATCAAATGAAGTCTACAATAAGCAATGTCTCAAAGACTAAACTCACCTGGCCCTGGAAAGCCATAGTGGCCATATGGATTCATGGGCCATTGATACATGAAATAAGGCTGAGATGGTGGCTGAACATAGAAAAAGGGTCTGGTGTGGTTTACTGGATGGTGAGGTTGCCCAACTCCCATTGATTGTGAAGTGTTATTCATTCCTGGGGGGGAAAAAAAGAAAGAAAAGAGCATTTGGAAGATATTTTTTTATGCAGTTGTTTGCCCAAACAGTAGGCTAGAGCAATGTGCTAGCAAGGTCATGGTTTGAGAAGATTACCTTCCATTTCTTGTGAAGAGACGAAGACAGACAGCACAGGATACAAAACACCGCAATACTGTAAAATGAAAGAAAAAAAAACGTTGCACACTTATAAGCACGATAGATTAGACCAAACAAACAATACCAGGAAAGGGCTAGATAACTTAAAAATGGATAAGCATGCTATTTATACTGTTCAAATGTAGCGACGAAAAAAAAAAACTAACCTTAGATGTGAAAGTGACAAAGTGGACTTAAATGTGCATATAGCGAGAGCGACTAACTCTGTCGTTAAAGCTTTTTACTTCGGATTTATAGGTTTCATGCTTGTTTCCAGAGCTCCACATTAATGCAATCAAATGGCAGCCAGCAGGTGTATCCAATTTGTCCTATATATTCAGCAAGCGCTGACGTCGGATTTTATCATAATAAGTTTAAAGTTGTGTCTTTTACATTTCTCATTTATATTATTATTATTATTATTTTTATTTTTATTTTTTACTAGCCTACTACTACTACTACAGTGTTGGTTCATATTCCACACAGTGTCATTAGTATTACAATTAAACTTCAAACACCGTTTTTTTCTGTAGCTAATGAAACCTGGCAGTATTACAGCAGTCGTTCACTCCTCTTTTACTTATCATTTATTCATTTACAACAATTGTTTTGTTGATGGAATGCAGTTTGTGCTTCCTCACAGCGCCTCTATGCGGGTAAGTTAGATGTATGTTTCAGTTTCACGTATGAGTGAATAAGAGCGCTGCTGCTCTGTCAAAAAGCGGTGAGTATGTTAATATTTTTCGACAGCTCATGAAATAATTCAGACAGTTGACTTGACTAAAAGTATTAACAGAGACACATCTAGACGTTCTCTTTAATGTCGCTGACCAGTGTTTTGATAATAATCCCTAAGCGTTAGCCTGCTAGCGTACTTGTATTCAACAGCAGTGGGCGAGTTAAACCGTAACGTTAGGGGTTTAATTCGAGTATGTAAACACGTATGTGTGTACAGGTTAGACAAGTAACAACGAAGACCGTAAAGCATCAGTTTATCTAGAAATTGATATTTAATTTTAAAGAAAGAAGTTGCTAACTAGCTTCGTGTAAGTTGTTATGGTTTCACTTTCCATTCACAAGGCAGCTAGCGTAGTAGCTAACATGAATATACTGTAAAAACATCGATATAGGTTATTTAAAGGATGTGACAGTCATGCATATCTACAAAATATTAACATGACTGCAAATAAACGAGAAAATGACCCCTCATGTTTCACAAGTGAATTAACAGACGTGTTGTTGACTCTTGTTTATGCTTCAAACATAATAAATCAGTAAGCCACCTTGTCTAATGCTGCTAAACTTTAACTATAATAAATCCAACTACAGTGTAATTAGTTTGTTTTCTAATGGTTTGGCTTGAGAAACAATGATCTCCGGTAATTCAGGCCCTGTGTGTTTTAAACCTAAAGCTTTCAAAAACTTTCACTTTCAGCTATGGCCTCTCTCAGTGATCAGCTGGAGGAGGTGAGGGTGAATGCGGAAGGCAGCTTGTCTACTCCAGGTTCTGCCCAGGAGATGAGGGCAGGGGTGGCAGCCATGGCCGACATCCCCCTCCCGCCCTCCAGCAAATATCGCTACATTGCTGCTGAAAGCATGCTGACAGAGAACAGTAGTGGGAATAACAGGAAGGAGGTGAGAGCTGGTATAATGATTCATTTTCCTCAGCAGTCCAAAGAGTGTATGATTACACAACAGGAAGCAAACCTTTTACACAACAGGAAAAAAAAAACCTTTTAATGATCTGACCATTTGCACGTAGTTACCGCATGCAAGGCCATGACCTATGTCTTAATGATTGTGGGGACCAAGGGAGTAGTAATATATCTTTTTATTAAAAGTAATTAAATAGTTGGAGGATTTGAAGGAATAAACAGAATTAAAGAAAACCGTAAAAGTATAAATAACAGTAAAACTATTTGCAAATAATATTTTTATTTTAAAATATGCACACATTCATTCTTAATCATATACTTAATATGCCAAAAATGGCTTTGTTATTGTTTCTTGTCACATTATACTCAACTTTTTTTGTCATTTTTAACCATTTAAGTGATTTATGTAATTCATAATTGAGTAGTTTGCAACAATGGATATTATTTTCTGTCATAAAACAGTTGTCAAATATTAAATGTAAAGCTACTTTTGTATCTTACCTTGCAGTCTTTCACTGTTGAAACTCTAGCATCATGTTTGGGTTGTGTGAACAGTGGAGCCCACCTTCTTTGATTTGATTGGCCATCTCAGTCACTTTGACATTAACGAGCGCTGTTATAGACTGCTTAGGCATACCTGCCTAAAATATATATTTTTAACATTTTAGTAATTTTTACAACAAACAAAGTGGTACACAATAGAGTACAGCAGAGAAGCATCAATAATATCAAATATTGATGAGGGGACAATTTGTCCATATGTGATTATTGGGGGGGTGTGTATCTACAATGGTTACTGACCTGACCGTATATATTGGGAATGAATGGTTTACACTGACCATGTGAATGACTGACATAAAGCGCATAATAATACATAGCACTGGGTAATCTGTCACATCTGTCTGAGGTGTTTCGTAAGAATTTGTTCTGTTTCCACTCATTTGTATGCGCATAAAAGTTCATTTCCAAAAAAGTTCAAAAGTCCTAGTTCACGTTTACCAACTGTTGTTGTTTCTGGGCTGTAATGTATTCTTCTTCAGACTATTCTGTTGTACATTTAATATCTTCTGATCCTTTTAGTCCCTTAGCCTGCTGCAGAAACTTTCCACTGCTCTTAACATCTTGGAGAAGTATGGCTCAAATCTTACCAATCCCAACAGGCCAAAGTACTGGCGTACAGTAAAGTTCAACAACCCAGTCTTTAGGACCACCGTAGACTCTATTCAGGTGTGTGGTGGATGAGATTGAGGCTTTTTGTATGAACCATACCAAATATCTGGTTGCTATTGTTTATCTTCGTCTTTCAGGGTGGCAGAGCAGTACTCAACCTGTACGGTTACACCAATCAGCAGCAAGATGGCTTGAGCTTTCCTGATGATGTTGTCCAGCCGGATGTTGGGAAGGTGGCGTCTGTGACTCTTGAGGTCATGTGCCTCCGTATGGAGCTGGACATGCTAATCAAGGTCTGAGGCTGTAAAGTATAAGCAGTCAATGGGTTTTTTCACAAAGAACATTCAGCTCACATAGAATCTGTTCCTTTTCTGTAGGGTACCCATCCTTATCCAGAGTTTTTTGAGAGACTTATTCCCTCCCTCACTGTGCAGGTACAATTTGTTACCATTCTGCACTTAATTAAATGTGGCTGATTTATTTGGTTATAAACTAATGACTTGTCCATCCATGCACTTTTTTCAACATCAAAATTGTAGGTTAAAATTGATATATACATTACCATTCAAAAGTTTTTTTTTGAAAGAAATTAACACTTTTATTCAGCAAGGGTACATGAATTTGATCAAAAGTGACAGTAAGGACATTTATGATGTTACAAAAGAAACCAAAAATTATCAATAAAAATGTGTTGCAGTCTCCACATAAAAATTAAGCAGCACAGCTGTTTTCAATAATTAGACGTTTCTTGAGCTCAGAATCAGCATACTAGAATAATTTCTGAAGGATCATGTGATCACATGACTGCTGAAAATTCAGCTTTGCCGTCACATGAATAAATTACATTTTAAAATGTAATAAAATAGAAAACACTTGTTTTAAATAGTAATAAGTGTTGCTGTATATTTGATAAATAAATGCAGCCTTGGTGAACATAAGAACTTTTGAATGGTAGTGTATGAATAAGTTAAAGTGCTCCTATCAGATTTGTTAGCTTTGTTGCACGTTACTTGAATACAGTGTCCATATACAGGATGAGGAAATCAGCACAGATGCAGTTGCCTTCTCTCCTAGTGAAAGACCATTGGAAAAACAAGCTCTCTCACCTGCATTGACTCCTTCTCAGCCTAAATCTCCATTCAGTCCAGCACTCTCTCTTTCTTCTCTAGTGCCCTCTAAACATACAGGTAAGCATGTCACATTTACCAACCCTGGCTTTCCATTTAAACAATATATTTAATTGTGAGTGTCATTTCTATTCTACTATTCTATTCCATTCAATTTCTCTGCAGAGAACTGCACCATATGTGGCATCTTTCCGGTGTCTGCTCACTGTCCCACCTGTACTCAGCGGCTGTGCACAGAATGTGACAGGCTGTATCACTCCCATTCAGGACGTTCCACACACATTAGGATTCCTGTGACTTCCTCAAAAGCCACGAAACGGCTCAGGTTAGCACTGTTATCATTTTAAAGGTTGAGAGATTATATTTGTGTAGAGGATTTTATTCAATAGATCTGTATGTCTTTATTTCTTTTTTTTAGCTCATCATTGTCAACATGGCAGTGTTCATACTGCACTACAGTAAATTCAATGCAGCAGGTTTTGTGTGAAACCTGTGATCGACCCCGCCTGTCCTCTGCTGCTCCATCTCTACAGGAAGAGCAATCACAGCCCTCTACAATATCTGGTTAGTCTGTACATCCTTTTTTCTAGTTTACTCTCACTTTTTCCACACTAAATAGGCCGTCAGACCTGTTTGACCTTTTGATATGTCAGGTTGGTAATCGAACAGGACAAATAAACATCTAAATTCTGTTTTTTGCCCATCACTTTCTTCAATTAGAGTGGCAATGTAAAAGCTGCACTGTGGTGAATGCAGGCAGCAGCATTCTGTGCGAGGTGTGTGAGCGCCCTCGTCTGGCCACCAAACCTCCTGTCACACCCTCACGCCCGACCCCCACTGCCGCAGGACTAATGGACAGCCAGGTGCCACGATCCACTACATTCCATATGCAATTTTCTGAAAGATAGTTTTGTTTATTGATAGATTTTCAAGGTGAAATGTATAATTTCTGTGCCAATACGTCAAATCAAGTGACCTTTATTTATATAGTGCTATATACAATACAGATTTCAGAGCAGTTTCATAGTAATAAGCAGCAGAATAACAGAATTAGTTATGCAAACGTCTTTAAATATGAGATAAAATTCAAATTCTGCTGTAAAGCAGCTCTAAAGAGACAATAGTGTCATATTCAGCTCTAGTCAGTTCAGTGTTGGTTCAGTTCAATTCAAAAAGTGTGTTTCATTAATTATGTTCAAGTTCATTAATTATGAAATGAGTTCAGTGCTGCTATTAGGAGCTCTACAGAAGGCAACAGTGTTGTTATTCAACTCAAGTCAGTTCAATGTTGATTCAGTTGAATAACAGTGCTGAGGTTG